AGTCAGTTAAAATGAATCCTTATTCTTAGAAAAATCTTAATAACTTACTTCTAACTATAATTTAGAACTAGTAGAGATTATATACTCTCTAACTACCTTATTAAGACAATAAAACATTTATTCTATATTCTCCCCTATCACCTTCAAAAGGATATATTACTATTGTATTTTAGCTTAATTGCATGAATCTACTTGCATTTCTTTCAGCTACCAAATATACAAAATAAGGATCATCTTCGTTGTCATAAATCGGCGGAAGTTCATAAATAAATAGTTACTCCTCATAAATTTCTAGGTCTTTCAATTCATTCTTAAAAAATGGAGCAGAATTATTGCTTATTTTCTATTATTGGAACGTAGCCATAATTTGAAAACACATTAATCTGCTATACAGTTGCTGTAATAACATTTAATTTATCATACTAGAGAAGTTCCTAGAAAGTAGAATCTTCAAGGCTTAATTCTTAGGAGAAGTCACTTTAAATTATTGTTGTTATTAATTTTACTTGATTTACACCATTTTCTGATGACAATTTAATGGTTATTTATTAGGGATCAGAACAATTGTTTTATCTTAATTTGATTAAAACTAAGCTTGAGCAGTTAAACCCAATTAAACATATTAGAGTACCTCCATTTCTCATTTATTAATGAATCTGATAATTTATATTTATTCTAGTTGGATCATTGCATCAAGGATACCCTTAATTATTTGGATAACTTTAGATAAATGTTCTTATATCTTTTGACCTTATTATTTCAACTTATTTATAAGTTGAATTTGATGCTGAAGTAGCATATTAATAAACACTTTCTGATAAAAATAGTTACTCTACAATAATCTCACCCTCTATAATGAAGGCTATAATGTGTTAAATTAGTCTTTTCTTAATTTTATTCTATAAACTTCTTATTAATCATTACTAATTCTGAGATTTTGAGTAAAGAATACTTCAAATGTATCTGAAACTGAGATGTTGAAATGTTAAAATAGACATTGGTACTATCTGTCATCTGCTTTTATGAAATAGCTTGAAAGTATATTTGAATTTCCGACATCAAAAACAAATAGACCTAGTAATGAGGGAGTATTTCCTGCTGATGGATTATTTGATATACAGCCTCCTAAGAATGTTTCATTAGTGCTAAATACCAATTATTGAATAGTTGAATCTTTGAAATACTATTAAGACCCATTAAGGGTAAATTCTTTAGCAAATTGAGAGATAAATGAGGTACTCATCTTTCCGAAAGTATATTTATAAATGCCTGAAGTTATTGTACTACCTGCATAATATAAGTAATCATTATTCTGATCGATTATTATAGACTCTTCCGAATTTATCAATTTCCATTGCTTGAGGTCTTATATACTACATTTGACCATTTAGTCTAAGCGATTTGATGGCATTTCCATTTTTTGGATCTAGATTGGACAAGACGCTATATCCTAAGGATGTTATAAATAGAGCGTAAACCTACTAATTTCTTATTCTAACAGCTGAAGTATATTATATTGTAAGTACGTCAACTGTAGCATCATGTTTATAAGTGAAGAACCATCTTAAATGAGTATTATTTATCTCAGTTTGGAAGTAAGCAACTATAGGATAAGTCTACTTTGATATTTTTTCTTTTATACTTCCTCCAAAAACAATATCATTTTGTAAAGTTGGTTCCATATCAATAGCATAAATTCTCGATTCAGAATAATCCATACCCAATGTGATTTGTAATGGAAATTATTACAATTAGTAACATGTTTCTTAGGGCTAGAAGTTTTCAATTAATTTGTGATTTATTAATGATTAATGTTTTATTATATTAAATCAATTTCTTCATAATTGATTTGAACATTTATATTAATCATCATGGGGTTTTGGGGTTTTGGGG